AATCAAGCAATCAACCATTTAATCAATCAATCAATCAATTTTTATTTTCATTTTTATTTTTATTTTTTTCCTGTTGTGATGATTTTTTTTTTTTAGTATAAAAAAATAATAATAAAAGAAAAAAATATGGGGGTCTAGAGCACGAAAAACTCTACACCCCCATATTTTTCTATTTTTATTTTTGCTTTTTTTCGTAGGTTTTGTTAGTTTGTACGGGACCGTTCATACGGTCGTACGGCCGTACGAGCGGAACCCCGTACGACGTACGTATGACGTACGGTGTGTTACATAGCTCCTGGTCAATGAGATGATCAAACTTGCAAGGCAATCAAAACACAACGCGACAATCATTTTCATTGACTTTGAAAAAAACTATGACCACGCTGAGTGGACCTTTCTAGACAAATGTCTGGAAAATTTTAACTTTGGACCACATTTCAGGCAATGGCTGGAAATAGTGCAAAAAAAACATTACAACCTGAGTTATGGTCAATGTCAACTTCGCACCACTCATCTCTCTTCAGAGATCCGTCAGACAAGGAGACCCGATAACACCATTCTTGTTTGTGATAGTGATGGAAGCCCTATTAACGAATTTGCAAGCATATACGAACATCAATGGAATCCAAGTCTCTTCAATCCCGGAGGAAGCATTACCGGTATGCTCACTATTTGCCGACGACTTGACCCTGATGGTGGACGCGTCACACACATTCATCGCCGAGGTACGACACATGATGGAGAAGATTTGTGCCCTCTCAGACATGAGACTCAATTGGGGGAACAAAACCCTAGGGTGGTGGATCCATCATCAAGGAGTCAGGTCTCCGAAGCAGCCAAGGGTCAAATGGTTACCCAACGAGGCCCCCATCCGGGTCCTTGGGATTTCACTAACAGCAAATGGTAGACCACCAGTAAACTGTGAATGGTTGCTCAAAGCACCTTTGGAAAAGTTGATACAGTGCAAGGAGAGACACACTTCACTAATGGTATGCTCTTTGGTGATAAACAACGTGGTGTTTGCACCCCTGTGGTACAGATTGGCCATCTGGGCGCTAGATAAGACAGCCCTCCGCCCACTGCAACGGCAAATAATCGCATTTCTATGGCGGGGGGACCATGAAAAACACAAGGTGATCAGCAGGGTTGCATGATAATCCATAATCCAACCAAAAGCCAAGGGTGGACTGGGCATAATTGACCCGGTAATACAAACCAAAGCTTTGGCAATACAATGGCTCAAACGACCTCTGTGTTGCCTTGACATCCCATGGAAGGGGCTAGCCCTAGAAGAAATCTTAAGATTGACCCCTGAAACAACATTTGAAATCAACCGTTTAACATGGCTAGAAAACAGGGGCTGGCCAATATCGAGAGGACACTTCCGACGACAGAACCCGAACTGCCCAAGGAAATAGGCGAGGGAGGATTTGTGAAATGGTCACTTCTGACCATCCTTTCTGAGGACATGGAGTAACCTTCCCCTGCCTGACAAAATTCATCCATAGAGATGGAACGAAGTATTACAACAGCCTCTTTTCGAGTACAGGAGGATCGTCGACACCAGGGGCAGGTCCTCCACTGTACGGACTCCCCCTGACGTGTACAGGTGAAGAGGGGTGTACTCAAAATGAGAGATATCTGGGATACAACCACGAAAGACGGGATCGACCGGGACCTGCTTAAACAAAAACTGAGATATAGCCATATATCAGAAACTGCAATCGAGGTCATAATAGAAAGGATCCCCCTGAGCTGGTGGAAAATACTTAAGAAGGGACCCACTTTGCACGAATCCGACTGGGTGCAAATCCCGGGCAATCTGGGAGAGTTAGGCAATGTAGTATACTGCAGCCCCAAAGGGCCGGTGGTAGTCGACATATTTAAATTGGGCAACGACAACACCCTACATAGACCTGTACCAGAAGAAACACGGTTTTACCAAAACGAGGAACTGTCACGAATCAGAGTGCTGGAAAACGGGGATAAATGGATTGCTTTCCTCCCAAACACCCCGATTGCTCAATTGTCACTTGACCCAGTGGAATGGACATAGACATCTTCCTTCGGGAGGGGCAAGACATGCAACAGAAAATTACATAGCATAACAGTCAAATCAACATACATATTGTTCCGTCCCACGACCTGTGTAGCATCGTGTTTGGGTTCGGTGACCGAACCCAAACGTTCGTGATCGAACGCGAACGAGCGCCAAAACCTCCCGAACGTGAACATATATATAATAAAAAAAAAATTCTCAGAAAAATCTGAAAAAAATATATGTTATGTAAAATAATAAAACAAACAAATTTTGCCTTGGAGGTATGCTCAAATTCATAACCAAACTCGAGTTAAAAAATCAACCCCCCCCTCAAAAAATATATATATATCGTCACAAACAGCCATATATTTTAATATGTTCGGCCGAACACGTTCGGGGAACGTTCGGCCGAACACCCGAACATGTTCGGACGTTTGGAAAAGCTCCGAACATGTTCGGTGTGCTACACAACCCACAACTAATCTACGAGACTGGGTAGAGGCTAGATGGATGAAGCATCTAAACATAAGCAAGGAATCGCTCCGGAAGGTCAAATGGTTTCAGGTAGTTAAGACGAAACCTGCAAAACTGGCCTCTCTCCAATGGCAGGTAGAGCACCGTTGCTTACCAACGAATGATTGGCTAATAGACATGACATCCTTAGAACAAAGTGGGCGAACTCTATCTTGGCGCAAACTATGCTCCAATTCCTTCCCATCTAGGAAAAGGCCAGAAACGATAGAACATATTTCCTGCAATGTCCGGGAGCCATCTGGCTCTGGCGCTGGTGTGATAGGGTCTGGGACCAGCTTGAAGTAACGGCACCCTGGCCATGGGATTGGACAGCGCTGCTACTAGAAACACGGCCTGCAGAACAGGTGGATGACTTCACCCATAACATCTTTAAACTGGGATGTAAGGCGGTGCTATGGGCACTTTGGAAACGCCGTTGCACATATGAGATGGAAGGGGCGCAACTGGAAGGCCCGGAATTCACTGAAAGCATACACCAACAAATCCAAACAGAGATAACAACGCACTGGGAAGATGTCAAAGCCCAAATTCGTCATACACATACACAACAGGAAATAGACAAAAAATTGGGGGGGAAAACGAGGGAAAGATAGGGAAGGTGGAAAGGAATAAAAAGAACGGTGTTCAAGAGAGGGATCAAGAGGAGAACGGGCTGAGCAAAGACAACAGGCTAAGTTTCCATGAATGGACCAATGTGGAACCCACAACCCCAATGAGACCGGCGGCTGACTTGCCTGACCCCCTCCCCCCTCCGTCCAACAGTCTGGTGGAATTGAGGTGGTACGGGAGCCAGAGAGGAAGGGGGGAGTAGTGAAACAGACAACGAGCATGGGGTTCCTGGCATCAATAAAAAGGTGTATCATACATCGTTAGACATCATAAGGAATTGATAGTGGAGACCGGGGCTGGTAGGGGGAGGGAGGAACGAGTGTGAAGCAGTAGGTATCTGGCGCCCAGTTCAGGGTGAAGACGTCAGGGTGAAGAGGTTCCCCCTTCCTTCTAATATCCTGCTTAGTCAATCCTCAGGATCCCAGGAATGTTGGCAGGAATCTCCCACAATTGTTTTTCTGATGTATTCCAAATGCAGTCTGTAAATGGGACGCTGGACCCGTTTTCCAGCAGGTGATGCTCCCCACCAATCGATGGAGCCTCTCCCCAGGTGCTAATGGTGTCTGCTGTTATCAGCACCACTAACACTGGTGGGGGCGTTAAAAAAATAAATAAAAAAATCTGGGTTAGGCCAACGCCCGGTCCAGATGGACCGGACCAGACGGACTGGGGGGAGTCCATCTGGCAAAACCAGACGAGCCAAAGAACATGCCAGGAATTTTTTTTTTTTTTTTTAAAGATGGGATTGGACTGCGCTCGCTGAGAGGAGCCCAAATCCGCAGAGAAACTTGTGAAAGGCATGTGTATTGGGGGAGGGAGGGGAAGTTTGACGGGAGGGGGGAGGGGGGGGGTTGACAAGGGGGTAAAAGGGTGTGTTGCAGCAGCCAGTCCGCTGAGGGGAGGGGTTAGAGGCGGGAGAGGAAGACGAAGAAGAAGACGCCACATCCTTTGTCTGCTCTCATCCTTCCAGACCCGCCCCTCCCCCCGCCAACGCCGCTACCACTGCCCGAAAGTAGGTGGAGGAGGAGGAGAGGAGAAGAAGAGTAGAGGAGGAGGAAGAGAAGGATGAGGACGAGAGGAAAAGACGAAAGGAGGAGGAGGAGGAGAGAAGAAGAAGAAGACGAGAGGAAGGAGAAGGAGGAGGAGGAGGAGAGAAGGACAAGACGAAAGGAGGAGGAGGAGGAGGATAGAAGAAGAAGAAGACGAGAGGACGAGGAGGAGGAGCATGAGGAGGGAGACCTGCCGGTAGTGTATGGGGATGACAAAAAACAAAAAGAAAAAGAGGACAATGAAGGAGGACGAGGAGGAGGAGGAGAGAAGAAGAAGACGAAAGTAGGTGGAGGAAGAGGAGAGGAGAAGGAAAAACGAGAGGAGGAGGAGGAGAGAAGGACAAGGAGGAGGAGGAGGAGGAGGAGGAGGAGGAGGAGGAGAGAAGAAGAAGAATAGGAGGAGGAGGAGGAGGACCTGCCTGTAGTGTATGGGGATGACCGGAAAAAAAAAAAAAAAAAAGGACTATGGAGACGAAGACTGAAGACGAAAGTAGGTGGTGGAGGAGGAGGAGAGGAGAAGAAGAGTAGAGGAGGAAGAGGAGGACGAGGACGAGAGGACAAGACGAAAGGAGGAGGAGGAGGAGGGAAGAAGAAGAAGACGAGAGGAAGGAGGAGGAGCAGGAGGAGGAGCAGAAGGAGGAGGAGGACCTGCTGGTAGTATATGGGGATGACGGGGAAAAAAAAAAAAAAAAAAGACGAGGAGGAGAAGGAGAGAAGGAGAAGATGAAGGAGGAGGGGGGCGGGCTGGTAGTATATGGGGAGGACGGGGAAAAAAAAAAAAGAGGAAGACGAGGAGGAGAAGGAGAGAAGGAGAAGATGAAAGTAGGTGGAGGAGGAGGAGAGAAGAAGAAGAAGACGAGAGGAGGAGGAGGAGAAGGAGAGAAGGAGAAGACCAAAGTAGGTGGAGGAGGAGGAGGACAGAAGAAGAAGAAGACGAGAGGAGGAGGACGACGACGGCGACAATAAAGAAAACCAATGAAATCGGGACGGGGAGGAGGAGGAGGAGGAGGAGGAGGAGGAGGAGGAGGAGAAGAAAGGAGGAGAAGAAGACCAAAGGAGGACGAGGTGGATGAGGAGGAGGAGGAGGAGGAGGAGGAGGAGAGAAGAAGACGAAAGGAGGAGGAGGAGAAGAAAGGAGGAAGCGGAGATAAGAAGACGAAAGGAGGAGGAGGAGGAGGAGGACGACGACGAGGAGGAGAAAAAAGGAGGAGGAGGAGGGGAGGAGGAGAAGAAAGGAGGAAGAGGAGAGAAGGAGACGAAAGGAGGAGAAGGGCGAGGACGAGGAGGAGAGAAGAAGACGAAAGGAGGAGAAGGAGAGAAGAAGACGAAAGGAGGAGGAGGAGAGAAGAAGATGAAAGGAGGAGGAGGATGAGAGAAGAAGACGAAGCGAGGAGGAGGAGGAGGAGAGAAGAAGCCGAAGGGAGGAGGAGGGGAGGAGGAGGAGGAGGAGGAGGAGGAGAGAAGACAAAAGGAGGAGGAGGAGGAGAAGAGGAGGAAAGGAGGGGGAGGAGGAGGAGGAGGAGGAGAGGAGGAGAGGAGAAGATGAATACGAAAGGAGGAGGAGGAGGAGAGGAAGAAGAAGAAGAGGAGGAAGGAAAGAGGTGGAGGAGGCTTCACCACGGTCCAGGGCGTCCCGGCCGGTTGGGTGCCCCGGTTTGGGGCCAGACGAGCCCAGCACAATTTCGCGCGGGGGGGGGGGKGGAGGGCTTTTTCGGCTAGTGGTCGCCTCCCCAGCCTCCAGGAACACAAGTTTTTTTTTTTGGTTTTTGATCTACGACCAGTTTTAGGGGGCGGGGAAGGTCTTCTTCGGCGATTGATCCCAGTCGCCGATCTGCAAAGATCAGTGGCTGAGATCAGCTGCCAGGAAATGGGTTCCCCCTCTGGCGGGCTGCGATGCCGCGTTCGAATTCGAACGCGGTATTCCCCTTTGCGAAGCCCATCGTTGCTGCCATTGCGAAGCCGCCCGTCGTCACTGCCGCCGCGAAGCCCGCCCGTCGTCGCTGCGGCCGCAAAGCCTGCCCGTCGTCGCTGCTCCCCCTCGAGAAGCCCTGCCCGTCGTTGCTGCCCTTGAACCTGCCAAACAAAGGCCAGGCCACCAGACGGTCCGGAGTTTAACACAGAAAAAAATAGAAAAGGATGCTCAGCAAGAGTGACGCTTGCACCTGCTGCTGCCACAACACAGTAGCAGCAGCAATTACCCAGCAGCAGCAGCCATAGCAGCAGCAGCAGCAGCAATTACCCAGCCACATATTAGCTAGCCAAGTGCCTTGGAAGGTGCACAACAGCAACAACCTGAGTACCGTTGGGATGTGTACATGTCTTCTAGTCAGAAGCAACCTCACTCTTCGCAATTGCAAATAGAGCAGAAAGAAGAGAGAAGGCAAAAAAAGCAGCAGCAAACAAATTGTGCAGCAGCAGCAGCAGCAGCAGCATACAGTACACGCCCACGCAATATATCCCCTCCACGTTCCTGCCAGCCAACAACACTTACTAGCTGTGTCATACGTCACTGCCATGCCTTCTGTCATCCTTCTACCGCTTTTCTTCTTATTCTTCTTGTTGGTAAGAGAACCACCGGGATTGAGGCTTTGTCGGCGACTGCTCCATCTATTGGTGGGGAGCATCACCTGCTGGAAACCGGGTCCAAGCGTCCCTTTTGGAAAAACCATGAGATAAGTTGAGAGGGAACACAGGTGCTGGAAACTGGGTCCAGCGTCTCATCACTGTCTATCCTGCATGCCTAGAAATGAGGCCCAAGGCCAGGGCCCAGCCAGGGCCTCTGGGGGCCCCCAGCGGTCCCTGTCTGCTCCCCGGCCCGCCTTCCAACAGGCTCTGGCTATGCTAACTGCACTAGATGTGCTACCTGCTGGTTTGTTCTACCTATGCTGAGAACCGGGCTCAGTGTCCCTCCTCCTTCTTCTTCTTCTTCTTCTTCTTCTTCTTCTTCTTCTTCTTCTTCTTCTTCTTCGTCGTCGTCGCCTTCTTCTTCGTCTTCGTCTCCGTCTCCATCTTTGTCTTCGTCTTCGCCTTCGTCTTCGTCTTCTTTCCAAACAACGCAGCGTTAATGGACCGATCTGTGGTCGGTGACAAGAGCATTCTTCATCAGATGAGCCCCACCCGTTAACAAGAGCATTCTTTATCAGACGAGCCCCACCAGTTATGATGTCTCCGGTCTGTCGGTGGGGGAGCTGCCGCTGCTCGAAACCAGCGCCCACGTTTGCTTAGCTTATATCTTTCGTTCTTTTTTTTTTTCTTTTTTTTCTTTTTT